CGAAAATTTTAAATTGCAAATATGTGACCAACTTAAAATAGGCAGTGTTCACTGCTTTCCAAGAAGAAATGAAATGGCAAGTATTTTTTTTTCAGTCTTTTAGTTCTGCTAAAACTAAGTGTTAATTTGAAGCACACAGAAGCAACCAAACTGCAGTGTAATTAGTTAACTATTCCAATAACCTCCATGTGTTCAGGTTCCACCTCCTGATACCCCAAAATGCTCTTTGGTTTGTGAGTGCCAAGATGACTTTCTTTGCCCCTGGCTTTCCTAGTCAATAGCTTCACCCTTGAAGGAATATGAAATGGCAGCCAACCGCACAAGTAACTGGGTCTGTGTGATTTAAGAATATAAGTCATGACATATCTGACATTACTCTGGAATGGAGTAATGGAATACTCCATATACAATGGAATACTACTCAGCCATAAAAACTGACAACATAATGCCATTTGCAGCAACGTGGATGCTCCTGGAGAATGTCATTCTAAGTGAAGTAAGCCAGAAAGAGAAAGAGAAATACCATGTGAGATCGCTCATATGTGGAAGCTAAAAACAAAAACAAAAAATCAAAGCATAAATATAAAAAATAAAGAGACTCATAGACGTAGAATACAAACTTGTGTTTGCCAAGGGAGCAGAGGGTAGGAAGGGATAGATTGGCATTTCAAATTGTAAAATAGATAAACAAGATTATACTGTATAGCACAGGGAAATACAGACAAGAGCTTATGGTAACTCACAGGGAAAAAAATGTGACAATGAATATATATATGTTCATGTGTGACTGAAAAATTGTGCTCTACACTGAAATTTGACACATTTTAAAATGATTATAAATCAATAAAAAATGTTAAAAAAGTGCACAGTCTCCATATACCCCTGCCCCCAACTCATGTACATCCTTCCCCATTATCAGCATCCCCCACCAGAGAAGTACATTTGATACAATTGATGAACATACATTGATGCATCATTCTCATCTACAGACTGTAAGTAGTTTGCATTAGAGTTCACTTGGTGTTTTGTACATTCTATGTTGCATCAACAATTATAGTATCATCAGAGTGTGATAATGTACCGTATTATCGCTGACCTAAAAATCCTGTGCTCCACCAAAATTCACTATTCCCACCTATACATGTCTCCTTCCCACCTTACCCTTGGCAACCACTCATAATGTTTACTGTCTTCATTAATTTTG